TTGCTGCAATTACAGCCGTTCACAATAACAGGTGTTGCCCATCAATGTCACTTCATACGTTGCTCCAGCGTTATAAGGCTTCACGCATTGGAACAATATGCCATCATCATCATAGCTTTCAGGCTGGTGTTAAGCAGAAGGCAGCCAGACGATATCAAACTGTCAAGTTTGGTCAACTTTAACGTCCGCCTGCTGAGTATGACGTCACATACGTTGCATAGTGAAATGATTAAACCATTACAAATATCATTTCTTAGTGTTATTAACTTTATTTCGCCTTTTTACGAATGTAACGGTCCTCTGTGTCATAAGGGCAATGAACATAAAATTACAATAATTTGGAACACAGTTAGTGTGATCCCAAAGAATACATGTCTGACACAACAAAAATGAGTTGATAACATTTAGGTCAGCTTTTAACATCGTCCATGTTATGCAAGTTCTGGACATCTGTTCAAATAATCTTGTCAAAGTAATGCTGCATTGAAGCCATGCACAACATTTCGTTCAAGTTGGGCTACATATTCAGGACATCGTTTCGCACACATATCGCCTCCCTAACAAGGCATCACTTAATGTCGCCGACAACCAACCATCTACCTCTTTAGACATTTGTGATTTGAACATGCTTTGAGCAGCATCAATTTCAGATGTTCATATCCGTCATAAAGGAGGCACCATTCAGCTAAATGAATGCAAAGTAATCATGAACATAATTTTCGTCTCTCACACCATTTATGATCAGCCCATTTATTTTCGTCGTCTGGGTACAGCACGACCATCTGGCATGTTACACGGGCAGGATGCGATGTAGGTTCAGGGAAATTGCACTGCCCATGTTCTACGAATTCGGCCAAATGGTTAGTACTCCACAAATAGGGCTGCACGAGCGTTTCGCACTCAATTTGTGCAATGTTTGAGAAGCCCAACGCTGATCGGTCCGCTTTCCTGGATTCATTGAACGAATAGAACGCTAGGAGATGCCGGGTGGGTCACCCAAATCCCCTAAACGTATCGTTCATGTTTTGTGAGCATCGCTTGAATTTAGAAGGAATTTGATGCTATGCATCAGAGCGGCGCCTGGGGATGACATCGTCATGCTTAATTACTTAGCAATGATTGGGTAATTCGGCCCAATTTGATGGCGCTGGCAATGAGCTGTCCTTGGGTGTGAGAAGTTAAAAGTCGTTAAGAGCATATCGCATTTGAAGAGATGCATTGGGAGGGTGATCCGGAGCGTAAAGCGTTTGCGTCCGGGGATAATCGCCAGAGGTGTAGATGCAAATTGGTCATTCGAGTCTGCTCTTTCCATGTATTGCAACAACCTAAGTTAAATTTTCTGAAATGTTGGGCATACGGATGCATTATGCTTAAATTCAAGTTCCATTGATACCAACGTGCAATGGATAGTGGCGGGTAGACGCATGGCTATACCAATGGAAAATGGGTAAACGTATGTGGCCCGGCTGCATGGATCCGCAATTTCTGGAATCAGGTATCGCGAAAAACAAACTTATGCACAGTTATCAGGATTTTAGCCTTTTTTGGCACTTATTCCAAACTCCTCCAGCATGTGCCTGGACGTTGTGTGACACCTCAGCCCGCTTGCTACATCTGGTAGGCTTGACGACAGCATGAACCCTGAATTCGGTGACCATTTCGAGTGTCATACAACTCTTGTGGCTGATCAAAGCGATGGAAGGCTGGCCGAAATCCGAAGCCAGGCTGGGCTTTTAGTGCTTCCTTACAGAGTCACGTCACCTTCTGGAGTTACGTCCATGGCATCGACAGCAGCCATAGCTGCCAGATCGGCACTGTCAAAATCAAGGAAGACCTGTCCTGACATCTCGATACGAATCCCGAACACGCGACGACAAAGCCAGGGCGGACGCCGCCCGATTTATTACCAGAACCGGCCTGGCAACACTATTCAGAGGCTGGGTGTGCAGGTCACCAGGTACAGGGCGACTTTAATCTTGGAACCGACCGCATGCTCCCACTACCTGGCGCAATGTCCACACGTCGGGGGCGGCTCTCTGGCCGCTCAGCGCATGCAGAAACGGAAGGAACGCGGTTACATTGCGTCTTGAATATTTTCTATCTTATTTTCGTTTTTTGTTTTGTTTCAAATAATGTCTTTTTTTCAGGCATCGTGCCACTGGGGAGTCTCCTCCTGAAAGCTGCAATATGAGACTGACAATGTTCTCTCTATCCGATCTCACCCACGCAGCTGATAAAAGTAAATCGCGTTTACCGGGGATCAGTTCACCGACTCGCGTAAGTGCATGTTATCCTTTCTAACGTTTAACTTGCTGGCGCCCATAATCGGGTGTCAAGAATAACCGGGAAATCAAGCGATAAAACACCGCTGGGATGGTCTTCTCCCGCGCCAGTTCCATACGCCATTGCACAACACTGATACCGCTAGGCGAGATGGCGCTGTGGGATGTCGCCGAGATATTCGTAGCGGAAAAAATGACGCTGGAAGAAAGCTACTTTGCGACCCTGTCGTCCGCCGACTGTCCCAGCGAGCGTGTGCGCACCCCGCCAACCACATGACGTCACTCACGTCGCTCTGAGCAGCCTCCGCTGACGGACTCGAGCTCACGACGTAACACATGGCTGCCGCAGCTCTCGTCTACCCGGCGCACGACGTAACACACGGCTGCCGCAGCTCTCGTCTACCCGGCGCACGACGTAACACATGGCCGCCGCGCTCTTGTCTACCCGGCGCACGACGTAACACACGGCTGCCGCAGCTCTCGTCTACCCGGCGCACGACGTAACACACGGCTGCCGCAGCTTTCGTCTACCCGGCGCACGACGTAACACATGGCTACCACAGCTCTCGTCTACCCGGCGCACGACGTTACACATGGCTGCCGCAGCTCTCGTTTACCCGGCGCACGACGTAACACACGGCTGCTGCAGCTCTCGTCTACCCGGCGCACGACGTAACACATGGCTGCCGCGCTCTTGTCTACCTGGCGCAAGACGTTACACATGGCTGCCGCGCTCTTGTCTTCCCGGCGCACGACGTAACACACGGCTGCCGCGCTCTTGTCTAACCGGCGCACGACGTAACACATGGCTGCGGCTGCCGCAGCTCTTGTCTCCCCGGCGCACGACGTAACGCACGGCTGCCGCAGCTTTCGTCTACCCGGCGCACGACGTGACACATGGCTACCAGAGCTCTCGTCTACCCGGCGCACGACGTAACACATGGCTGCCGCAGCTCTCGTCTACCCGGCGCACGACGTGACACACGGCTGCCGCATCTCTCGTCTACCCGGCGCCCGCCCCGCATGCGCGCTCACACCGCCCCCGGGCATTAGATTTGCTGCGAGCCTGATCCGCGGCTGTGGCCGGGGCTTTGCGCAGCCAAGCGGTCCCTAATCCGACCGAATGTGTCGCATTAACTGAGGTGCGAGCTTGAATGGTTCAATGAACGCCACGTTAGGGCACTGGCGAGCTGGCCGGACCGCGCCACTGAGTGCCGCCAGGCCGCCGGCTTTGTAGGCACGACAGATGCGCCGGTTGCGCCCAGCTGAGGGCAATCGGAGTCGACGTCTGAAAGCGGCGTGCGGTGAAGGAAGGGAATGCCGGTGAACTCTTCGGAAAGCAGAGATAAGTGCACGTGCATAGTGTTGAACCACGTTTATAACTGATAAGAAATGGGAAAACCGGTGTCTCGTTCCAACGAAGCCATTTTGCATGAAATACAATACTCGGGCCGCGATAGCTTTCCCATCGCCGGATGCAAATAAGCGAGACGGTGTGCGCCAGGGTTGTAGAAATAATGCTTTGATGACTTGCTTATCCAAAAGTAACGCTGAGATACTGCTTTTTACTCTGTGATATCTCGGCAAAGCTCTGACATCCTCACGGACTGTACAGGAGACGAGCGATACAAACTTTTATGAGTTTAAGGCCTTTATTGAGTAAACGATGTTTCATCTAACAGGAGGCACTGGTTAAGCGACGTTAGAATGCGGATTGCCATAAGCAGTCGGCAGCAGGCCTGTATTCAATGTGGTCGGTCCCAAGGCTAAAGCCACTCTGTAGTTGGTGACCTGCGCACCCAGCCTCTGAGCCGACACGGTGTTGCCAGGCCGGCTCTAATAATAAACCGGGCGTCGCCTGCTCTAGCTTTGTCGTCGGGTGTTCAAAATTCGCATTGAGATGCCAGGACATGTCTTGAGTAACGTCAATATAAGCGTTATTTAGCATTGCGACGTCGTGAAACCGGTATCGCCTGGTATATTGAAGGTCACTCACTCAACATCAGACCCTCCAGCTCATGTTGTCGAAAAGCCAGTAGCTGAATTACTTTTATATAATTTACAATTATGCCATTGTAAAAAAATTCACAGCATTGCAATGACAGGCACTGCAATAGTGTTTTTTCAGGGCTATGAGATTTGAGGCTTTCATCAGCCACAGTCTCAAAACATGATTTGCTGGCCGTACTAAGAAAAGGGAAGTCAAACGTTTTAACTGAGCCAATTTACCTTCAATGTTTTACTCTGGTTGATACGATACCATGATACTTATAACCAAAAGGGGCACGCCACCTGCGTTTCACGGCAATTGGCGACATTATTATAGGATGTTATTCACACAAAAGCTCCAGTGGCAGACAGGCCACTGTTATGCCCACACCGCTCCTTACGTGAATGACCATGTATGTACTAAGCCGCGGCGTGCGCATCCTTCGCGCCATTCCGGGACCGGTAAGCCAAGAGACTCTCCGGCGACGCAGAGCCAGGTCTACAGGCGCCAGTGTGCAGCCGGTGAAGGGAGCGGCGAGAAAACCGTCCCTTTCTCGACGTCGAACCGATCAACGGCACGGCACGTCGCCTTCGATCAATAGCGTCGCCGTCATCGTCGTCGTTGTCGTCGCCTGGCCGTGTCCAGAGGTGCGTGCAACGCCGGAAGCCTTCGCCGTCGACTCCATCGCAGGCCGGCGGACAAGCCGTGCGCACTGGCGCGCCACTCACCTCCTTGCTGGGTACAAGCACAAGCACGAACAGTTTGACTTGTTTGGCGGTTCGGCCAAAGTTGGCCGGGTGCTTGAGCCGTGCGATGGCCATGTGACGCCGCTGCAGCGTCGGGAGGGTACACCTGGAGCGGACGGGGAGCGTCAACACCACACTCCTCGCCTCGCCGGGTCCGCACGCGTCCGGACCTGGGGTCACGGAGCGTCAACACCACACTCCTCGCCTCGCCGGGCCCGCACGCTTTCGGGCCTGGCGCCAGGGAGCGTCAGCTTCACGTGCCGCTCCTCGCCGGGCCCGCACGCGTCCGAGCCTGGTGTCAGGGAGCGCCAGCATCACACGCCTCGCCTCGCCGGGCACGCACGCGCCTGGTGTCCGGTGCATACTCCAGACATGCCGATCCTGGGTAAGAAGGCGTGTCTTGTGGCAGGGAAGGTTGGGTTCGAACCCCGAACGGCAGGTTGCCCACCTGTAAGCTTGCAACGGTCCAAGTGGAAGGCAGAGCCGCTAAAAACGTAATCGGAGGGCACTGACCTCGTGCAGTGCGTATGTCTCCTAAACATTCGATTTTTGTCGACAACCACTTCTTTTCTACCAGACTGACATACAGTAAAGTCGGTGACACTATGCCCGTGTCTGAGACCACCGTATGACTCAGTGAGCGGAGCGTGGCAGGATTCTCGACCCCTAACCGGCACGGAATGCATGCGTGCACATGGCGGGCTTCGCGAAAACATACGACACCGGTAATCAATGCTGTTCAGGGCATGCATCGGATGAGGCAGACGTGGGCTACGGGACTTCCGCTACCAGGCGGCTGTGCTTCTGTGTGGATGATTGGGTCTCACTTCTTTTTTGTTTTTAAATTTTATACGAGTGTTTTGATGAGACGAAATTCCAGGATCAGCGCCCACGCTAAGCAGTGCTTTTGCGCGAGCGCTGCCCACACCATCCAGTCGGGAATTTTCGGGTCAGCAGTATGGTTCTCTCCGATGCGACTTTAATGTCGGTTCCCATGGTACATTTACTGCCATTACAAACTGATAATCTCTGCTGATGGGATTGTTAACTTACTTCAATGATCAAACCGTGGTCCAGTTTCACAGCACAAAACTGTGAATATACTTAATTATTTGAAATCAAACCCTGAGCGTACCCGGGCCAGACACTTGTTGCGTGACTACGACTTCGGCGTGTCTGTGCGACTTTTTGCAGCGTATCTTATATTCGTATGTAATCTATGAATTTAGAACCAAGCGCAAGACCCAAATCCGTATAAATATACGAACTGGGCACGTACGTAACCCGTAGTTCTTACAGAAACATAACGAACATTCTGGTTCCGGCAAGACGTATTTTAGCTGTAGAAGTTGCAAACAAATTAAATAGTGCCGCGTTTGCTCCTTGCATTAGCCCTTCAATGCTCATGTTACGGAACACAACGCCGTCATAGCGAAATGCCCCGCTGCTTAAGTAAGTCCAGATTATGTGCAGTTCAATCAGTCTTACCCATAGCGCCCTCTTACCTGCGTTACACCGCCACGTAGCAAGTGTAAACACATAAAGAAGGACTTGCCTGTCTAATGGCGTGAAGCAGAATACGTGCTGTCTGACGGCGTGAAGCAGGAGATGTAAACAAATAAGCGAGAACACTGGCACCTACTTAAGCGCATACATTTGACAAACCCTCCAGAATTAATCACTATCATGAGCTCTCGACACTTCACTATACTACGAAAGTGTAGTTGGTCAAACAGATACTCGTCGCAAAGGCAGCAAAATTATTTTGCACTCATAGATCGTGCGCCGCATGTCGGCTGGTAGGTAAATGAGTAGGAACACATCTTGATGGGAAATTTCGTTAGACGCTTAAGGGCCTAAGACGCAGACGCTTACTTCTTAAAGTTGCGCTTATAAATGAGCTGTCTGCTACGGGGAAGCCATAAAATAGGACTAATTCATATTTTGTGTGAGAGGGTGCATTATGACCGCGTGTCACTTAGTCCTACACTGTGTCGTCCATGCCGAGGCTTTCGTGGGATAATGAAGTTCTTTAGACGGCTTAAAATGACAATAGACATCATATGAAAGGAATGCATAGTGCCACATTTATCCCGAGTATCATATTCTGCCCAGTTTCCTAATGATCGTACCAAGTTCCATCGGATCTTTATAAGCGGAGGGGAGAGGAACACAACGGGTACAAGCTATGTGCCGGGAGCCCCAAGCAGCTTCAGGGTCCAATCCCAGGTTTCCATTTACATAGAGCGCTATGGGTTCATGCCCCAAAGTGGCTATGGCCGCTGCTAGGTGCCCTTTGTGCCGCTCCAGAACGTCGCTGGATTTATTCTCCGCCTGTAAGGTTCCGGTCCAGCACATTTTTTCTATCACAACTACACTGTTTGTCCAAAATCCTTTTTACAGCTGGGTAGAGTGTCTCTGACTCGTGTATATGCTGTGAGTTGCAATTTTTTGGTTTTTGTGACTGATTAATCCGCGGTTTTTTATTTCACAAATTGCTTTTGACTAGGAAGCCAGCTGGCCAATCGGAAAGCAGGCCAATGAATTGTTGAATAAACTGCACCGGGAATGGCGGATTTGTTTAAGCTTTTGTTTTTGGTTTGGTGGTTTAAATTTGCGTTTTGTAAGTTTTGATATGATAGGAAAACACACATACAAGTGTAGAAATAAGCTAAAAGTGAGCAATTCCTCGCTTCATGAGCAAGCTTGCAAGTGGTACTAAAATCCCATGGGGCCCGTGGTAAGGCCAAAACGGTACAAAATTCGTGCAGCCGAAAGTGAAAGTAAGCAAATGAAAGTCCGCAGATCTCAAGTCGCCTCCGTGGTCTAGGGGAAAGATGCTGGGCTCTTAATCCAGCGGCGCTGTGCACGAGTCCCAGTGGGCGCATTGTTTGACCCGACCGACGTGCAAAGGTCAGCTGGCAACTGGCCAACGAGGGTCAACCCAGGCCCGGGGCGGCAGTGCCGCAACATTGTACGGCACGTACAAACCTCCGCAGACCTGTCCGGCAAAGGGGCGGAGGCAAAATTCTCCGTTATACTAGGCCGCACGACTTGGGTGGTGGGTTTGGGGTATACGCAACAAGCTATGCTTAGCGGGTGCTCTGAATCCGAAATCACCCATGCAAACCACTCGGAATAAACTTATAAAAACAAAAACAAAAGCACGAATCTAGCAAGCTTTCCGCAGCTCTAGCAAGTTTTCCTCTGAGTAGCTCATAATTTTAATTTAAATTAGGTGCCCCTGCGGGAGAAATCTCATTGAACTACCTGCTCAACACTATAAAATCAATACATTTAATTTGGCGCGATTTTTACAACGTGAGCGTTTTATAATATTTGCAACACACTTATTTGCCAAAATTCTTGCGTGATATATGCCACGAAAGCTTAAAACACTCTAATGAAAAAAATGCACGCAAATATGAGACTATTATCACGCCTATTCAACGAAACGTTATACCATGACTGCTTTCTCCCCTATGGTGCTTACCACAATGCTTTTTTCGAGGCCCACTTTGGCTTTGAAAAATGTCGTATCGCATGGCCTAATACGGCGCACTGGATCAAACTTCAACCAATGCACTTCCCGGTCACTGGCCGTTGCCGCCCGCTGTGCCAATCAAAAACGTTCGTCTGTACCGAAGTCATTCATACCAGTAGTCACTTTTCACTTTTTCACACAGCTACTTTTAAGTCGGCGGGCCCGCAATGTTCGGGTTAAAACAGCTCCAAAGTGGTATCTCTAACCACAGCGACTGAGCCCCGTTTAGACCGGACCACAGCGGCTGAGCCCCTTTTGCGCCAGACCGCGGCGACTGTGGCCGTCTGGGGCAAACTACAGCGGCCGTACCCCGTCCGGACCGGACCACAGCGGCCGCACCCGGTCCGGACCGGACCACAGCGGCCGCACCCCGTCCGGACCGGACCACAGCGGCCGTGCTCGTCTGGACCGGACCACAGCGGCCGTGCTCGTCTGGACCAGACCACAGCGGCCGCACCCCGTCCGGACCGGACCACAGCAACCGTGCCCGTCCGGACCGGACCGCGCGGTGGCGGGTGCCGTTCGGCCGGTCCATATTTACGGCCCGGCGTCGGAGGAGAGCTCAGACCATCGATCGATCGGCCCCGGGCCGGCGGGGCTCGCTGCCGGCGCGGCGGCAGCGCGAGCCGCCAAACCGGCTCGCCTCGCCCCGCCAGCACAGCCGCCAAACCAGCTCGCCTCGCCCCGCCAGTACAGCCGGCCGGCCGAGACTCGTTCCGGCCGAGGCCCCGGCGCGAGCCGCCAAACCGGCTCGCCTCGCCTCGCCAGCACAGCCGCCCGGCGGGGACTCGTTCCGGCCGAGGGCCGGCCACCACGGGATCGGCCTCGCCCCGGTTCCGACGGGGAGGGTTCCTCACACTTGTGAAACTGCCCGCTCGGCAATGACGCGGCGCTCACTGGGCGGTGCGGCGGCGCGAGGAGCCGAGAGTGGTCACGGGGTGGCGCGATCCGCCTCAGGCGAGATGTCAAGAGTACCCCGGGTGCGACCTCTGGTGTAGAACTCCCGCTTGTCTCCACGGAGAGTCTTCCGGTGCCTGTGACCGAGGGTCTTCCATTGATTGTGGTATGGTGTCTTTCTTCACCCCTCACCAGGAGCACTGAAAGTTCTCCCAAGTTGGAAAGGAGGAGCTAAGTTGGCTATTTCTTTCCAGTCAGCACCTTTACTGTCTGTGAGAACTTTCCAAAGAGTTTCGGGACACCGGCCCCTGTCACACCCATTCTTCCCGCGCTCTCGCTCCCCACTGATGTTTTCTTTCCGGTCAAGCGTCTTCTTGTCTCTGCCCACGCGTCTTCCCTCGCTTCTGAAATACGTCTTCCCTCGCCTCCGACCGAGAGTCTTCCCTCGCCTCTGACACATGGTCTGATTTGCAGCCCAGCTCAGTCCCAGCTGTCGCAGCTCGATACAGCTCGACAGAATCTTAAACAGCCAGCTGGCGAAAAGCGTTCTCACATGCTGAGGAACGAGAAAAAGCTGCTGAATGAAATAGCGCCTCTGGTACAGATATCGTGGCTGTAGAAATGCTTGAGTCATATTCGTTTCTTGACAGGCACTGCGGGCTCGA